TTTCGTATATTTAAATTAATATTTTTAATTTAAATTAATGAGAACAGAAATTTTCCAATAATTACGCTTACAATATAAAAATATATAGTACATATCATATAAACAATATAATATTATATCCACTGGGATAGGAGCGGGATGGATTTTCTGGTCGAAATACGCGATGAATTCCATTAAAAATATAAATTTAAATTCATTAAAAATAACTGAAAACGATCAAAGAAAAAAAAACCTTAAAATACATTATTTTTCCATTTTCAATTGATTGTTTAAATATAAATACAAAACTGTGTTTTATTAAATATATCGAATGATTCATTACAATATAACTATAATTGTACAATACAAACATTATAATATTATACTATTCGGTCATAAATAACTGATAATTTGAAGTATTTGTATATTTTTTTTTATTTTTTTCGATAAAATATTATACGCCATTGAGCATACTCGTGTAAAATTTAAAATAAATTGTTTCTTGATTGTCTAGAGCACAATTTTTCGCAGAAAGTATTTTTTACGGTACGTTTTTAATTAAACGTTGAATTATTCAATTCTACGATTTATTTTAAATATATATTTATACTTATATTGCACCCTTGATGCAAGTGTGTCACAACTCAAAATATCGGTGTTTCGAGTTATAGTTACAAGTCAATACGTATTATTTTTCTCAGAAAAACGGTACACCAACAGAAGTTGTAGTACAACCGTTGCATCCGTAATAGATTTATGTCAGTATTGAATTTGTTACATTTTTCAGCAGATGAAAAATATTTTTGGTGTTGCTTTTTTTAGTCTTACCGAGGCCGCGATATGACACGAATGATATGAAACACGAATCAAGTTAAACAAACGGGATGGGTGCGTGTCTAGGAAATGCGTTCTGTCGATAAAATACGAACAACCTATCCGAACCGAAACGGTTTTACAACCATAACATGTATGTACACGTTGGAACACGTCCCGAACATGGGCGATTTCGCAGGGTATAGTAATTATTTATTTAGTAAAAGATTGGCACGGAACGCGACGATTTATTAAAAATCGATCGTGCGCATGTAGAGTGAAATCAGTGGATACGTGCGACGGGTATTGAAACACGGTGGATTTATTTGTTCGACGTTTTGGAATTATGCAAAAACGTCGTGCCACCGGCGGAAACGATGAAAAACACGCGCGGTGCCCGTGTGCACACGAATAAACATTTTTACTATGCGCTTTGAGCCGACGCGTCAGCTTTTTCCTGTTTACGTAATATCGTTACCATCGTTCCGCCTACGGTTACGGTTTTCATGCGGCAGACGTGCGTCCAAGGGGTAGGTCGGGTGGGCTCAAGTCCACACGGACTGTTCGACTAATACGATTTTCGTATTAAGTATTGTTATCCGAATTGCTGTTTTAAAATATTTACCATAAGAATTTACATTTATTAAAAAAAAAAAAAATTGTTTATTTCTCTCTCTAGTAATCGTGAACGTTGCCAAAAAACAGCAGAATATTAAGTTGGTTAATCTATTTATAACGAAAAAAAAAAAAAATGTTTCTCTCGGAATCCAACTCTATGAAAATATACATCATAATTAAACACATGGGTGCATCGTTTATATACCCAGAAGAAGTTTACAGACGAATTTCCATGTGTTGTAGTAATTGATATGGGTATTGTACAATTATAACTCCTACTTACATCACAGTCATAGGCTTTAGTGACGGTACACCATTACGTTTTACATAATTATACAACTAAAAATATATTGTAAATCATTCCGTTATCGGTAAATATAAATTATTATTATTATTATTATTATTAATGTCTGAATAAAAAAATACGCTTTGAAATAAATTAAAATGGTTTTGTATTAAATTCAAACCGGTGTTTTCGGCCGAGTGCGCGCAGCGGATGTTTTGTTCCGTTTTTCCGCGTTTCCGAGTGCGAAAGGTCACGGTAAAAACACTACGATCGCACTGCAACAGCGGTACTAAACGTTTTCCGGATCCGTTCGTGAAACGTTCTTAGGAGCCGCGTACGAACTATCAATGATGGAAGAAAATTACGATTCAACGTTAACACCCGCGTTCGTACCGTTCGGGTTTGCGGCCGGAAAGAAATCGGACGACGTCTCGTCGCGGGCCACCGGACGCGAACGCGACGGAACTCCGGGATGCGCGCCGCGGAACCAGAACCGTGGTCGAGGTACGGGCTGTGCACCGTGTGACCGGGTGTAACGCGGTCGCCTGATGGTAATCGAATCGCACGCAAGCGGATGCCAAACGTAATGAAAATAAGGGCGGATGGGGGGGGGGGGGGAAACAGTCCAAGTGGACGAAAACTGCAGACGATGCGCGACACGAAATCGCATAAAAAAGTATTACGTCTCGTCAATCGTATCGCCCGATGCCGACAGCGGTGGCGGAGACGTGCGAAACGTGTGGTCTCGACCTACCAGCCGCCGCCCAGGGACGAGGAAACGTTTGTTTTACGCTCCGAAAGTCGTTTCGCCCGCACCGCGCGTTATCGTGCGTCGTACCGCGGGAGTTATTAATTACACGTGATTACCGTTTTAATTGTCGGACGAAGAAAACGCTGATAACCATTACCACGCCTCGGCGAACGGTATCTGTACGGTTGTCCCGGGAAAACGTTCCAAAGGTTGTGGCGGACGCGACGTTGAAATGCGCGAATTAAACGCGACAGATTTATAACTTTTTTCGGATGTTACCGTTTCACTTGCGAGCGCGACGGACGAAATAAAAAACCCAGTCTGACGTAATTAAAACTGATACTATAAACGCAATTAATAACTGTACTAATGCGACGGGTGCGTGGCACGTTTCCGAACTATAAATCCTCCGTTCGTCCCAAGCGTTCGCGTCCGTCGGTCGGAGATGACCGCACGTTTGTCGGTATTCGAACGACCGTTGGATTCACGTCACCACCATTCGCGTGGACATCCCTACGATTCGAATGCAACTCCAAAACAGCGTACTGTCCACGTGGGCAATGTTGTTGTACAAGACCGATAACGTGTATACCGAAATCGCGATAGTACGTGTACGGTTCGACGTTTCATGCTCGCGATGAACGCCACATTCCGTTGAACAGCGTTATATCGAAAATTCAAAGTAAATATGAACCGATGTACTCGAAGATCAATGATCAAAAATTAGATTTAATGATTCAATACGAACACCGGTTCGACTAACAACGAATCCGTCTATTTTCGGAAAACGACTGTAATGGTTGTTCTAAATGTCATTCTAAAGTTATGAAAACTTAAGTATTTCGAATGTACCGGAAAACATGAAACACAATGGGAAACCCCGTGCACAACCCCAGCCCACACAGTGTATGTGTTGATTATCGTATATTTTGTACGTTGGATGAGCTTATGTTGTCACTGTGTGAAAATACCTCTGATATTTATAATGATTATTACTTAAATCATTTAATTAGTTTTGAAAATATTCCGATATAACATGACTCCATAATCCTACGATAATCTTATAATCTGGAAAGAAATTATAGTAAAAATGTTAGACTTGTTTGCATTCTCGTAGTAATGCTAACTGGGATGCGCATCGGCTGTACAATAAAATAATTACTTCCAGTTCGAGACGCAAATGGATCAAATGTTTTAAACCAGGAAAATCCTGGAAAAACCTTACTCTAAACGCGTAATCGTCAGTACACCGAAGTGACTAGAAGCGACTAAGTTAACGCGCGGCAGTTGGTTTTGAAGTTAAAACTGCTAAAACAACGAGTTATATATATATATATAGTATTAAAATATTTTAAAAATAATGAAAGCGCAAACAAGGCGAGCTTTGTTCAAAGTCTTAAATTAAATACAATAATTCAAATAAAACGCCTCCGTAGCGTATAACATTATGGACGTGCGAACATATTTAGGGTTTGAGAAATCGGGCGTCTACATTTTCCGCCAAAAACCCGGTTCCTTGATTTACGCACAGCCCTATATCACCAGAAATGAAAAAGGTATAATTCCCGTTTCCGCCAAAATTATTTTTGTGATAAAACGTTTGGGAACCATGTACAATTGTTACATATTCTTTCATTATAAATTTTAATACAATTGATAATAATAATATATTAGTCGAATATAGGTACAACTATATTAGAGTTTTTAAAGTATTACATAATTTTATATTAAAATATGTCTATTCTATTTAAGTATTTATAAAGTAAAAAACAAGGATAGGTCAAATATTGTCTCTATAGATTTTTGAAAAACACATACTGTCATAAATTAATAAATAATTAAATAAATATATTTATTTTACTCGTAGATACAAAACGTACGTTTCGTTGCAAGTATTACTTTTTCTTTTTCATAAATATTGGCCCGACAATTATTCATAAAACATCTCCACCGAGTTACATTTGTATGTGACGTATAACTGAAAACATATTTAAACTCATCAAAAATCAACATTGTTTTACCTCTTTTACTTACAACAAATTCCATTTTACGAACGGTAAGAACGTTTGTGTTCTAGTGACAAAAAGAACAGATACTGAATGGAAATATAAGAATTTAACATTTGTCAGATAATTATTGTGTGCGAATTATAAATAAACTATGATACCGCATACCGAACAGTATACTGTTATTATCGACGATTATCAGTGTATATATTACTAATGTCTTTTACACGTACCACAACATATATTCAATATTGCTTAAAAATTAAAACCAATGGTTTCCAAACTTTTTTTTGGTGAATATGACTTTTGGCGGAAACGGGAATCGTACTTTTTTCGTTTTTGGCGGAAAAGCGCTATGACGGAAACGGTCAATATCATTTTGGCGGAAACGGGAAACTACCAAGAAATCGTGTTGCGGTGCGTGAAATAGCGCACCGGTTTGTTTTTTTAGGATATTATTACGCTAATCAAAACAGTTTAACTGCGACTGTTTTTCATAGAACACTGTCGATCATAACTAACGTGTTCGTTTACGATTTGCAGGTTTCGTCGCGGCGTGTGGACCGCATCATGACCGTACGGGCCGTAAGCGACGATTGCAGGTGTAGCGCGTGGCCGCGGCGCCGTACCGCGCCGATAGCATGTGCTGGCCGGCGTTTGGGTGGCCGGCACCGCCGCCGCGGCCGTCGTCGGCGAAGGCGATGGCC